ATACATACATACATGCATACATAAGTTACATACACACTTACATACCAAAAAAAGGTAGTTATCTTTCAAACCATCTACTCCAAAACCCTCGAAAGACACTCCGCATCACGACTCGAGCAGGCCTCGTGAACAGATTCCCCGGCGGCTGCGCCGGCTTCGTTGCGGCCTGTGTGCCCAGATCGAGCCTGGGCTTTGTCCAGCAAACCAAAGTCATCCTTCTTCACGTCGACGGGGTCGTCTGCCTGTTTGCAGAGTTGCAGATAGCTTGGCAGCGTTCTATGAGGCTCTAAGATTTTGAGATGATTCGGGGCAGGCCTTCACCCTCTTGCGCTCGGTGTGCTCGTTCTCTTGAGCATGAACATGTTGCGCTGTCTCTCTGACTGTCACGTAGTATTCCTTCACGCCATCATACTGATTGCTCCTGCCCGAATAAGAGTTCTGATCCTACGAAAATGTACCGCTGCAAAATCACCCAATCGCCAAAGCCAAGCTACGAGACAGCGCAAACGAAGTCCTGTGCAGGTCCGGGTTTGCCTCGCAAACCTTCTTGGCACCATTGATCCTTGTCCTGCCCATGCAAGGAGGAGGGGATGAGTTCCACACGTTTTATTTGAGGGCTTAAGGTTTGTGGGGGTGGAGAAACTTTGATTTCGGGCTTTGTCGGGCGTGTTCACGGCTTTCTTCGGGGATGGGCGGGACAGGCCGTGAGAGCAATACGACACAAGATACTCCCAGAACGAACTGCCACAGATAAGCCCCCGACTGCGACCATTTCAATTCGCTTTTCATCTCACTTTCGGAGTACCACCCTTCGTTGATATGAAGAACGAATTTCTTGAGTTTGCGGATGATGAGCTCCAGCTCGGTGACGAACTTTTCCTGTTGAGAACAAAGGATGAACAAATCAGGGCTCTAGTCGCACTGTCACATTGCTCAAGCACTCAAAAAGTCTCCTTGTCGTTGTTGACTTGCAACAGCAAGTCAGCCATCTCGTCTTTGGCGCTTGTTCCAGAGTTCCATCTGTCGATGACAAATTTCGGCACATTCAGATCTGTCCTCTTCTTCTTTTGTTTTGTCATCCTGGAAATCCTGGCCTTAGCCGCTTCCTGCAGCAGCTCCTGGCATAGGTTTCCCCAGAACAGGAATATCGGAACGAGAAACCAGAATGGTATGAGCATTGCACAAAACGACTCGACAGGGTACACGTCTGGTCTTGACCCGCTTGCGCTTTAGCGATCTTCCGGGAGCAATAGGTTCATCACCTTCCTCAGCCTCGCTGGCTCCGTCTTGAACAATCTGCTTGGGTTCCCCGTCGGGCTCCTAGCCACAGCACGAAAGACTGTAGTGAGTGAAAACAAGGACATGTTTTGTTTTTGCGTCCTGCTCGGATTCCTTCGTTTCTCTACCCATCTGGGAAAGCTCCTCGTCCTGGCATGACCCCTTTTTTCAGAGAATATACGAAGCATGTTTAATAATACCACGGCAGCAGGGCCGTCGCAGGGACAGTCATGGCATCCGTGGATCCCAACACAGATCCGACACCACCAGCCTGTGCCGATGTAATGCTGCGCGATGTGCCGAGGAACAAAGCCCTGCGAGCCTCGCTCACCACAGAAGGCGGGGCACGGCTCTCGAGCTCATCTTCCGCTGATGCCGACGCAAGCAACTTAGTGCAGGGTGCATAGGAGGACGTACCATAGTATCTATGGTCAGGATTGAACCAGCTAGCTTGCCAAGCTCATGCCCATAGTGTTATAATAAGGTAGAAAGAGACATTCATACTGTGTCGAAAGCTAAGTGCTCGAATCCGCTTCAGCACCTCCTGCTCCTCAGCAAGAAGCTGCTCTTGAGCAGCGTCCTGCATCACCTGAGCATACCCTTCTGCCAGGGTCTGGCAACTCCACGCCTTCGACATCACTGCGCTGCAGCCGCGCTGGCTGCCTTCTGCTCCAGTGTCTTGAGCACACTTCAGGATTCAGGTGTGCAGATATGAGGATAATGTCTCGTTGAAGCAATGCCGGCTGGTTCCATTCGGAGTTGTGGCTTTTTCGACCGTCGGCGACAGTGTCTGCTGACACAATCAGCCAGCTACGTCTACGCTAATTTAGTAAAGGTGTCGAAGGAAACCCCTTCGGCGACGCCACGAAGCAGCTAAGTACGCAGAACCAGGCGTGTTATAAGAACCTACTTTTGCCCTACGGGTTTTTATGGGTTTCCGACGCTTAAAGATGGGTTTCCGACGCTTAAAGATGGGTTCGGAAAAACTGGGTTTTGGATAAAAACCAGGTTCTTGCCTGGAACTTATGGGTTTTCTGCGGGTTTTTATGGGTTTCTTGCGGGTTTTTATGGGTTTTTTAAATAAAAACCTATGTTCTACATGATAAAAACTTATGCAAACCTGTATAAAACCACTAAAAACCGCAAGTTAACGCCAAAAGCTAAGTAAACGTCTATAACCAGATTTATGTATTATAGTACACAAGAGCACACTCGGGGCTTCCTCCGTTCCTTCGACTCTAACAGCACTCGATCCCCCTCTAATTGAAATTTCTCTTTCGGGAAACCTTTCTGGCTCTAACGGGGAGCTGGGACCTCCATTCTGGAGGCATCTCTAGATGGGTTCCCCCTCGCAAGTAATCGTAGACAGACTCAAGGTCTGCCTGCCGAAAAAGCCGCTGTACATCTGCTGGTGTCTCTGCTGAACTGAAAGCTTGGAGGCCAGATCCAGGAACGGTTTGTGGGGCTGTCGGGCAACCCTTACCCGAGCACTTCAAGTCCTGGAATATGTCCGCCACCGCATCAGCAAAGGGCAGTGGATAGATCCTGAGCACGATGATTGTATTCACTTATATAGACCCCTAACTTACTAGGTGGTTCCCTAATTGAGTGGTACGAGGCATAACTCCCGAATGTACAGATGTATATTGAATAGTATCAAGCCCACACCATGAAAAATCCAATCGCTTCAAAACCAAAAAGCACAGCCAAGCAAATCTCATAAATCTATACACATGTATACGCAGCCCCCGAAGCCCCAATGATTAGATTTCCCAAAGAGCCCCAGCCCAAATCCTCAGTGCAGCCGAGACATTACAAATGGAAACGGTTCAACCTGACCGCAGCATGCGTGACAACCAGTACACATATGTAGATAGCATAGATGCTGTGCACATAAAATATACAGAGGAACACACATGCAGCGACCAGGTTGTACCGTTTCGGGAACCACCCCTTAGATCTCTCTTCTAAATCTAGTCTACAACCAAGGATGCTAGTTTTAGTGCAGCGGCTCTGTCGACTTCAAGTCTTTTGTGCCGGTATAAGCAACAGTGCCATCCTTCCGAGCCCGCCTTGATACTGTGGAGAATTTCCCCTTGTCCTTGATACGCTTTCGGTGGGTTTTTTTAAGCACTCCCAAATCTAGCCGCCTGACGTGGTGGGAGTTGGAGAACGCGTACTGCCGCTTCGGACACCGGCCTCCGTAGAGGCCCATCCACCACCCGACTCTCGAGACCTGGTCGAAAGGTTGATAATTCAAGTTGACTTTCAATTCTGCTACTGGAATAACACTTTGTATATATACTTGGGAGTATATCGGGCCTTGACCGGAAACTTAGCAACGACGGGGTGTGCCAGGGTTACAAGACGTGCCCCATTCTCGTAAGCCTAGAGGATATATGCAGCATATAGGGGTTGCAGCGACCCTGGGCCCTTTCTACATGTATAGATGCGCCTTTTTTTCCTTGAAACCGAGCTATCTACTGCCTACCTAGCTACCTAGCTACCTAGCTACCTAGCTACCGACCAACCTACCAACCAACCAACCTACTTACCGACCCCTACCTACCTACCTACCTACCTACCTACCTACCTACCTTCCTACCTATACCTACCGCTACCTACCGACCTACCTACCAACGTTAACAGGCATTGCTGTGGACTCGACTAAGTATCTCAAAGAGCGAGTGTTCACCCCGAACAGACTGAACAACCTCGCAACCTCCAAGAAGCCTTGCAATCGCACTAAGTTTCCCGCGGCCCCCACACCAGCTTGGCTGACCAGTGCGGACAAAACAAAGCGGAAAGTAGGATAAAATTCCAGCAGTGATCCTGACGGCTGCTCCAAGACGAAAGCGCCACCCAAGGCGACGGCTAAGAGTAGCAGGCACGAGCTCCTCAAGTGGTATAGTAGCTGTATGTAACCGCAACCCCGGATACCCCCTACTAAGCTCTCCAAACCGAACTATCGTTATAGCCCTTCCAAGAAGAAGAAGAACCCCAAGCCTGTCCTTTCCAACATCCTATTGGCCTCTCGAACTGAAGGCTTCCCTGCGTCTCCCCACGGGTCGCAAGCGGATCGCATGGAGGTCCCTCGGTTGATGCTTGTCCAAGAGGAGCATTTGATGCCCAGCCATATCGCGAAAGAGTGTGGTTTGCACTTCAGCAAAGCCACTACGGCTAGCCTTAGCTACAATATCACATTGGCGTAACCCAGACATCACTTCGGAATCTATGCTGGAGGCTTAAATTGGGGCTCGGGTTCTGTTGCAGCTGGGCCTCACAAACCCGGAGCAAGTGTTGATATCCATAAAATTGGATGAGTGAGGGCGGTCCGAGGAGGGCGTGTGATAGGCTTTGTCGAAGCGGGCACCCGTGTAACCTTTCAACCGCACCTTTGAAGTGCACCGAGATGACCCAGCGAAGTACTCGACCCATTCGAAGCACTGCGCGCAGATGGGGGTGCAAACACACACACACACATGCCATGTGTGAGCCTAGGCTGTTCATGAGTGTTTGCGCACGGCCGTGTCCACCCAGCCTCGGTGAGGTCGTAGAGGCCAGAGGTCCATATCGTAAGAAGCACCACAGCAATGAAGTCCTGAGTTGCGTGCGCCCTCAGACACACAGAAGACCAGTGTGATTGCTAATCTAGCTTTGTTTTAATTTATGAGTGATCTTCACGGACTCTACGTTGAGCTTGCACATGCACCGGGCGGCTTTTGGAGCCCTCAAGGCTATCAGCTTGAACACCAGCTCATCTACCGGCACCATGTTTTCAGCACACGAGCAGTCGTGCGTGGCGAAACGAACCAAAAGGCTGAGAGCTGACGTGATACCCACGCACGCATGGAGTAGACCCCAAGCACATATAGCACAATGGTGCAGGCAGGTAGGAGCAGCAAACACGCCAGGCCGACTACATCTCTGGTCTTTCTTGCTGCGCTTCCGGCGGGCGTGAGCCTTGAACTTCAGGCGGCCCATGAAGCGACCTGGGCAGGATAGTAATGGGTAGCATGAGTGCATATATGGACGCAGGATCTGACGGCACATGTGCATGCGTTCGCTACAGCTAAGTACATCGAGTGAACTGCAGCAAACATGTGCAGCGTAGTTCTTTTTTGCAGCTGCGTCCTGCATGCTTCTTTTCGGTAGCTTAGCAAGGCTGCCTTCGGATGCTTCCCCAATGTCAGGAAATATAGCAGATGTTGGTTAAAGTAAGACCCCAAAGTCTCGATCATTACCGCTGTAGGACATTTTAATTTTAATTGTACATACCACGACATCGTGCATCTTACTTGCAGCCCTTGCAAGCACAAGACTGAGAACTTCCCCGGGAGCTACAATGCCATCAGATTGAGCACAGCACTGAAGTTAAAAACAGCGCTCTAAGTCTCCTAGCTGAGCTATGCATCGACAGCTCCAAAACAGTTGCAACGTCGACATGGATTGCCTTTTAATCGGTGTAGCCGGAAGCACCCAACTCCTTGATGGCCTTGAACCCTGCAGCCTTGAGCGACAGCACCTTGGGTGCAATGTCGGCATGCCGAGGATCCAAGATGTTCTTCTCCTCGATGAACCAAGCCTGGGCGAAGTATGGGAGGAGCAAGGAGTCCGGGAGGGGTCGTCGAGGCATACATACAAGAGGTTTCTTTAGGGTTTATAAGGGGTTGGGGTTTTCTGGGATTTGTCTAGGTCTAAGTCTAAGTGTAAAAAATATAACATCGATACGGCTTAAGTGTGTCTATCTATATGGAGGGTATATAATTTAAAAACATGTAGGACTCGGTGTGTATACATACATATATATATATGTATGTATGTACGTATGTATATATGTACGTATGTACGTATGTACGTATGTACGTATGTACGTATGTACGTATGTACGTATGTACGTATGTACGTATGTATGTATGTATG